CCCCGGCAGCGCCGAGCCGAGCTGAGCTTCCCCCGGGGAAGCACCGGGGCTTCCCCCGCCCGCAACGCCCCCCCCGGTGCCGAGCGGGACCGGGGGGGAACCCCGGGCATCCCCGGGCTGCGTTGGGTGTACGGAGGGTCCCGGAGCCCGCACAGCCCCGCGGCGGACAGCCCGTCCTGCCCCCGGGCACCTCAACCGCTCTCCCCGGGGTTAGCGGCGACCCCCCGGGGTCGGGCTGGGGACCACCGTGCCCCGCTCTGGGCTGGGGACCCCGGTGTTGCGGCAGGGAGCTGGCTGTGCCCGCCTTCGCTGCGGTGCGCGGTCTGGAGCCCCGTGGATGGGGACCAGCCGAAACCACTGTGGGGCCCTGGAGAGCCACATCCCACCCGCGGGGGTCCCCCCGGGTCCTGTGGATGAAGCACCCCCTGTCCCGGGTCACCGGCTCCCAGCTCAGCCCGGCAGGTTTCCCATGGTGGCTGGCCCTTTGCTTGCCCCTGGGCAGCAGGAGGTGGCCCCAAAGGGCAGCGTTCACCCCAGGTTACTTCTGGCAGACTTGGGGGGCTGGTCCCCCCACCATGCTGATGTGCTGGTGTGGGGCTGGGGTCCTGGTGCCCTTCGGCTGCTCTGAGCCCTGGTCCCCGCTCGGGGACCTCGAGGAGTCCCAGGGGAGCCGGCAGCGCAGGGGTCGGCTCCGCACTGGTGTGACCTTGGGGTGTTTTGGCACAGTTGGGCTGCGTTACGGTGCCCAGCTGTCAGGGTGCTCGTCCACACTGCGCTACCGGGGCCACCCTTGGGTGGGCACCTCTGCCCCTCGCTGGGGACCCCCGGTCAGCACCCAGAAGCAGGTTTGATGCTGGCAGGGCACTCTGGGGTGTGTGTGTGGGTTGTGGGAGCAGCAGGCTGCCTTGCCCGGGATGTGCCCGGGCGGCACAGCACGGGGCTTTCCGCAGCACAGAGCTTTGCCTGATGGGGTGCCACGGGGTTCCCTTTGACGCCGGTGTCTTTAATCCTGGGATGGTGGAGAGCACCTGCATCCTGCCCTGATGGCTCTGCTGCCACGGCCCTGCTGGGGACGGCCTGGAGCCCCTGGATGTGGTGGGACCCATGGCTGGGAAAGCCGGGCAGCGCGCTCGCAGGGCTTGGATGTGGCCCTTATCTGCTGCCACCACCCTGGGAACTTGCTACATGCTCAGCTCTAGTGAATTTCCTTTTTCTGTTTTTGTTTCTTTCCTGCTGACGTTTTTCCCCTCCGGAATAAAGGGCTGGATGGGGACCATGGTTACAGGGTGGTGTGGGCAGCCCGACCCTGTGGCCGGGGTGGCACTGGGCAGGGAACGGCGGTGCCCAGCCACCCGCCTGTGCCGATCCTCTCGAGAAGGGAAAACCCCAGTGTGTGTCAGCTCGTGCCCTGGGTGCTGCCGGAGAGCGGAGCCGGAGAGCGGGAACCTGCTCTGCCTCTGCCCGCATGTGTTTTCCATCACGTTCCCCAGGGGCTGCCTGCAGCGGCGGCTTGCCTGGAGCCAGGGCTCACTTGCTGGTGCGTCCCGCCGGTTGCCGCAGCAGGATGTATCTATCGGCCTTCTGCGAGCAAGCGATCAAACTGTCGGTGACCTTGGCGGGGTGGGAGCTCACCCCCGCCTCTGGCTCAGCCCGAGCTGTCTCTGTTTGTTACAGCCCAGCTGCTGGCACGCAGGAGACGTGCCTTCACTCGGCCCCTCGGGGCGTGATCCTGCTGCGCAGGAACCCTGAGCGAGGCCGCTGATGGCAGGGGATGGGAGGATGCGTGAGCTGTGCTGGCTGGTCCTGTCCACATCCCGGTCCCTGTCCCGCGGCCAGGCTGCGCCGGGGCAGGCGTGATGCTCGCAGCTGGCACGGTGGTGGTTCTGTCTCTTGGAACCCCTGGTCTGACGCTGTCCCCTTGATGTCTCCTCCGTCTTAGATGCACCGAGCCGAGCCGAAACCACCGAGATCCACCGGGCCGGTGGCCACGTGACTAAGGCAGCGCGGCACCATGCCTGCGGCAGAGCGGGTCCTCCTCCGCTCGGTGACCATGTGGCTGCTCCTGCAAAGCCTCCTCCTCCTCGCCTCCTGCCTTCGCTCGGCCGCTGCATTCCCCAAGGGCTGCTACCCCTCGGAAGAGGAGGGGCTGAAGACCTTCCGCTGCAGCAATGCTCGGCTGACCGAGGTCCCCAGGGACATACCCAATGACACCAATAAGCTCTACCTGGACTCCAACCGAATCCCCTTCCTGCCCCGCGACGCCTTCCGGGATCTGCCGCTCCTTCTGGAGCTGGATCTGTCCCACAACGCCATCGCCAACGTCGAGAGCGGGGCTTTCCGGGGCCTGGCAGAGCACCTGCACTCTCTGGACTTGTCTTCCAACAGGCTGGTGTCAGTCAGCAAAGACGCCTTTAGCAACCTGAAGGCCAAAGTCAACCTCTCCGACAACCCCTGGCTGTGTGACTGTCGGCTGCAGGAGCTGATCCGCACGGTGGACCTGGTGGCCGGCTCCTCGGGTGGCATCGTGTGTGACTCCTCCGTGCAGGAGGAGCATGTTGGCAAAGCTTTCCTGCAGGTGATTGCCGACACGGACTTCTGCAACGTGTACAAAAAGACCACGGACATCGCCATGCTGGTCACCATGTTCGGCTGGTTCGCCATGGTGATCTCCTACCTGGTCTACTACGTGCGGCAGAACCAGGAGGACGCCCGGCGGCACCTGGAGTATCTCAAGTCCCTGCCCAGCAAGCAGCGGAGGTCGGAGGAGTCGTCCACCATCAGCACCGTGGTGTGAGGCACCGGCATCCCGCAGGACACGGGGACCCGCGGAGCTGCGGATCGGCCACTCCGCAGGCTTGCCATGGCTGCAGGAGCTATCACGAGCCACCGTCATTGCAGAGAAAGAGTCACAGATTTGTTCTGTTCTCTCCAAGGAAGCGGGGTCTGGCAGCAGGAGCCATGGCCGGCGAGTGCCTGGCTCTGGCACAGTGAGGGGCGAAGTGGCTGCGGCCAGGGGCGGTTATCGGCAACAAGCACAGAGCAGCCGTGGCGTCTGCCCGCTGCCTCTGAGTTACAAAGGACCGGAGAGACCCCGAGCATCCCCCCGGCATGCGGCCGTTGCTCCGACCGGCCTGGACATTCAGACTTCATTTAAAACTTTTATATTTCCTTTGCAGAGATCCCTTTGGGGCATTAAGGAAATCAATGTTTTAATCCCTCCCTGGTTTACCCTCGGCTGCCCGAGGGATGTTCCCGGCAGTGCAGGGCAGCCTGGGCCTGGCTCCCTGCCTGGATGGGCAGCGGGCAGGGCTGGGCTGCGGGGAGGAGCGGTACGGCCACAAGGCCAGTGCCCTGCCGGGTCACCGACCCCGGGACGGTCACGAGCTGTGACCGCAGCCCGGCGGGACCAAAGGACAGGGCGGGAGGTGGGGACGCATCGGTTGGGAAAGGCAAGAGGCAGGTCCAGGGGTGCCCAGCTCCGGCTCTCGTGCCGGACGGTGCCGCCCCATCTCCCGTCTCAGCCCCTGCTGCTTCCCGCTCCTTTCCCGGCACCCCCAGGCCAGGTGGAGTGAGGGGTGCGGGGGATCCCGCTTGGAGATGGGGTGGCTGGTGGGCAAACCCGGCACCTTCCCCCTCGGAGCACACCGTTCCTATAAAAAGCAAATGGGGAATAAGAAGCAAATGGGAAATGAGCTCCTCTGGGTCTGAGCCCTCCGGGGTCCCCAAGGGATGTGGGTGCTGCTGGAGGGGAACCGCGGGGTCCAGGCGGTGGGTCCAGCCCTGCCGGGATGTCGGGGGGAGCCGGTTTCCCCTTGGTGCTCCCCGGGGACCACGTAGGTGGGTGTTTGCAGCAGGGTAGCACCCCTCCCCAGCCTGCTCCGATCTGCCGCCAGAGCAGAGCTCCCATCTCTCACTCAAGGACTCACAAACTGCCGACCGGTCACTGTGACGGAAAGCGGGGATGGAGGGAGCCACTGTGGCTCCTCCACCCTCTCCCCACTCCCGCGCTGCTGGCAGGAGCCTGAATCTCCCCTAAAATGCCCCAAAGTCCCTTCTTGACACTTCCAGCATTGGGCTGCAGGTTCCTGGTGTTGGTAGGTAGAGGTGAGGCTGGGGTGCTGGGGGCTGGTGTGGGTGCGGGTCGGTGCCCACCTTTGGGCGTGCAGGGTCCAAGTGGCAACTCAGAGCAAAGCCAGAGCAGACCCAGACTCTTCCAACCGAGTGTCTGGCCCCTGAGAGAGCTGTTTTTGCTGGTTTTGCCCTTTTTTTAAACCACCTGAAGCTAAATTGCCTTAATTCACCAAGAGCACCAACCAAAGCTGCTTGAACGTCCTCTGTACTGGGCCAGACCCAGCTCCAGCTGCCCCGGAGCAGCGGGAGCTTATTGCCAGGTCCGGCCTCAGACCCTGGTGCAGGCAGCGTGTTTCGGCGCAGGCAGGGCTCCAGTCCCTGGCTGCTGCCCATCCTGCCGTGCCCCGGTGCCGGCAGGAACCGTGGGATAGAGCTGGCCGGGAGCGGCACACGCGCCCTTCCACAAGTGCCTACTTTCCCAGCGCAGACCAGGGGCTCTGCAATGCACAAGCACCTCAGCCCCAGCTCCAATCCAGGCATACCCTGGGCCCCATACTCCGCAGCCCCACGGCAGCTCCCCACTTCCAGACAACCGGCTGCGGAGAAAAGGGGCCGGGGGACCGGACCGAGCCACCGTGAGCAGCTGCACCGGGGCGCTGCTCCCCTGCGGAGACCCCCGGGCGGCTGCTGTCGTGCCCGTGGTGTGTGGGGACACCCGGGACCGTCTCACCCAATATGTGTTTTGTTTAAGGGACCTTTTACGTTCTTACTTTATACAACAATAAAGTTGGCTTTTACTTTGGAGCCTGTGCCCGGCGTGTGCTGGTGTGTGCATCCGTGGGGGGCACGGGGTGCTGCTCCTGTGGCAGCTGTGGCTTTGGTCCGAGGTGGGTGGCATCCCCCTGTGCCAGGGCCACCCTGGTCCCCGGTGACATCCTGGCCACAAAAGGAGGATGGAGAGTGCCCACGACAGCCGATGGCTTCCCAGAGCCACGTCTTGCTCTGCTGGGTGCTCCTGGGCTGGCGCTTTCAGAAACACGATACTTGGTCCCTCCGGTAACCCTGCCTTCGCCTTCAATAAATGAACACCCTGTGGCTCAGCTCCTGCGAGCACAGCTCAGGTCACTGGCATGGTGCCGGTCCCCGAGCCGTGATGTGCCGGGACCCTGTGCAGCGGTTTGCCGGGGCCCTGCTCTGCTCCCTGCCGTCCCATCCCCACCAGACCAGAGCTGGGCATTGTGTGGCACACAGGGCAAGGACCATGATGGCCAGGAGGGACAAGCCCTTCCCGATGCTCGTGGTCCCCGTGAGCAGCCTCGTCGGTCACGGCATCCGCAGCGGCCCCGTACTGGTTTACCGGCACCTTTCCCTACGCGGTGCGTGCCGAAGCATGGTGCTGCAGAGGGTGAAACCTGGGACCTAACGCGGAATGACAGCTCCCGCTCGTGGGACATTAACCTTGTTTGTCACTCGGCTGTCTCCAGACGCAGCGTGGCATGGCGTGGCCGTGACAGCCTGCAGACCCCGGGCTCCCGAACAGATGGCTGCCGTCCCCCACCCCGGTTTGCTCCCCAGGGACCCTCCTCCCGCGGCCCCGGGAGCAGCTGGGGAGGGCTGGGGGATGCAGCAGGATGGGCAACCCCGGCTGCCACCCCGACTGTGGGGATGTGGCTCCCCGGCGTCCTGCCAGCGTCCCTCCGTGGGGCTGGATAACACGGAGCCCCCAGGGACTCCGGGAAGACATCTCCGAGCTGCTCCAAGCCTTGAGTCAGACAAGGAGGGGACAACCGCAGCCATCCCCGGGGGCGATTGCAGCCCCCGGCCAGGGAATCGCATGAGGTCCCCTGAGACCGACCCCAACACCGGTGGCTGCTCGCCAGGACCCCGGCGAGGGCTTGTGGCAGGGCCAGCACTGCCTGGTGTCCTGGCAGGTCTCGTCCCCAGCTCTGTCCCCTCCCGTGTCATAAAAAATCTGCAGAAAGCTCCGGGAAGATAACTTGGTCTGGGACGGACTGAATTGCTTGGGATTTATGCTGTTAGTAATATTGGGTATTTAATCAGGTGTCACAGGGAATGGGGAAGAGTTGGGATTACGGGAATATTTGCAGGACATGCCTGCGGCCCAGCCGGCATGTCGGAGGGGTCTTGGGGGGATCTGGCCGAGCACAGAAGGAGGTCGGGGGCCCGCAGCCCGCTGGGCACCTGAGACGGGTCCCATCCCAGGGAGGGATTCTTCTCATCTCGCCATTCACTCGCCGGCAGCAAGTTGCTGTGGGCAAGCTCCTGCCGGGGAGCTGGGAGCCGGCGCTCGGTGTCAGTGGGTACAGGGGGCTCAGCGTTAAAGTAAACACTTCTCCTTAAGCTAGGAAATACCATCATCCATTTTAATGCTGCATTTCTGGGTAATTCATTTCCTGATGTACTGTAGATTTATCTGCTGGGATCAGTATCAGGAGAATTAGCAGCGTGACCTCCTTCTGTACCATTCCAGCATGCCGGTAAATCTCTGTTATTAACTTCCAAGGTCCTCTGCCCACCTGCGCTGAGTGGGTGATTAACCAGCCTGCCCGGGGAGGGCTGTTCTCCTTCTCCAGGATGGAGGAAAATGTGTCACTGGGGCAAGATTTAAGAACTGGGTCCTCGCTGGCGGTGATGCCTCTTCTGCTCACCAGGCCCCGAACCCCCCCCAGGAGCCCAGGGACCGAGAGATGTTCCTGGGAAGCCAGGCTCTGCATAGCCCCCGGCTCCACTGGATATTCGACTATTTATTGAGCTTACTGGTGGGCAGGGTGGCTGCGGGTCCGTCCTTTCAGCAGCAGTGACAGGGGCTCTGCTCCACACCGGGGGCAAGCATTTGCTTCTGCAGGGGTGTGTGTTTTTCTCAGCCCGTGAATGAAGCGTGCTCAGCAGTCGCGGCCCCAGACTGCATCCTGAACTTTTAACTGATTAGATTTAGAAGAGGGAAGGAAGGATGTCTAATTGTTTAATTTCCACAATTATAAAAATATTTATAAATAATTAGAACTGATGGCAGCAATTACACTGTGATTAAAGCTGGTCTACACTTCATCAATGGCCCTTCAGTTATGTAGCCTTATTTATTTATTTTCACCACAAAAAATCCATTTACAGTGGCATTGCTGCCAATAATGAATCATACTTATTCAGTGCCTGCAAAGGACTCATTAATCTGATGATGTTGCTTGTTATAGGAACGGTGCTGCGCAGAAAATGTGGTCACTGGACTTTGGCTGGAGGAAATTTCATTTCAGTGGATAGGAAACCAGAGCAGAACTCAAAATCACAACATCTCTTCCCATGGTGTGGTTAAGAGCTCAGCGTTTAAGCCAGCCGCACATTCCCCTCCTGACTTGCTGTTAATTTTCCCTCCCACCCCTCGTGCAAGCTGGGCATCGCTGGGCAGAGGGATCATTTCTCTGACTGCCATTCTTTTAGGACGAGGTTGTGTCTGGTAATAAAAGAGAGGGACCCGCAAAGCTGCCCCTCTCAGAGAGAAACGTTGTCTTTCCAGTCACTTTTCCTGCCTCTGCAGGAGACGTGGGGCCGTCGTCATCCGTGGCTGGGGCTGGTGCTCGTGTCCGTCCCGTTGTCCCGTGGGAGCAGCGCCGGGCTGGGTGCTGTGGCTGCGGCACCCACCGCCTGCCCATGACCTCGCTCCGGGCCAGGATTTAGGTACCAAAAAACAACACAAGCTCTTTCCCCCCCCCCCCGGTTCCAGTTCAGCAGAGCACTTGAAAATATGCGTAATTTTATATCAACAATCGGTCCCATTGAGGAATTCGCTGCGGCTGCTGTACCTAAATAGACTTTGCCTTTCACATGAGCCCCTTGGCTCCCAGCCGTTGGCTTTGACTCAGCAAAACAGCCGATCCCCTTCGAGCACTGCTGTCCCAGCCCTCCTCCCGCTTCCACAAGAGCACGGCCGCACGTGGGATTTCATCTTTCCTAACACACATCCTTGCCGAGGTGCAGAGCTGCATCCCGGGATGCCCCCGTACTGCCCAGCCCAGAGCATCTGCAGTGTCAGCCGGGGGATCTTGACAGAAATGACACCCTTGACTCTTGGCCAGGCTTCGTTTTCAAGCCACTTTCCACCAAAGCGGCTCTTGGACTGGGTCCTTGTGGGAAATTCCTGGGGGGATGGATTAGCCGGGGCTGCACCCAGGGTTTCCTTGGCTCAGCCCGCCCCATCCCAGGTGTGATGAGTTCCCGGGATGTGCTGATCCCAGGGCACCTGGTCCTGCTCCTCCCTCCCCACAGCCCCTCTCCTTTTAATCTGCTGGGCAGACTGGTGTTCTCCAGGATGTTGAAGTGAGTTGTGAGCTGCAGTGTGTCATGCTGGCAGCCCTGCAACCTGTTCAACTCCTGTTGACTTGAATTTAGAGAAACAGCTCCCTCGTGGGCTAACAGAGATGCTGTGGGGAGTTATGAGACAACCTTCCCGCTGGAGCAGAGATGTCACCGTCACCCCGGCAGACACTGTCCCGTAACCAGCTAGCCGTCGCGGCAGCTCTGCAGTGAGTGCTTTAACATGTGTTTGTTAAGTGTTTCTCAAGTGGCTTGTTCCAGGCTGGGAAAAGGCAGCTCTGATGTTAAAACAATGGGCTTTGGCTTCCAGTTGCCAGATTATTTTTGTCATTTGTGGATGTTGAAAACTGCTCACGTGCTGTTGGTAGGCAGCCCGTGGGAAGGGCTGAGGTACCTGAGGCCTGTGCAGAGAAGGGGACAAGAAGTTTTAAGCTCTACATTTATTATTTGTGAGAATTCGCTGCTACTCTTGAGGTGTCATAATCATCCTTTGCAAGAAGTGAGATGAGAGCTGCGTGGTCGGGGCAGGTTAAAGCAGTGCTTTAACCTGTTAAGCAGTTAAAGCTGAGCCTCGCAGGAGTAACCAGGGGTGCCCCCGCTGTGCCAAGAGCATCAGCTACAGCCCACGTTTCCAGGAGGGTGTGTAAAACCAGAGCGGAGCAAAAAAAAAAAAAGAGGATTTAAAGCAGGGATGAAGGCTCTGGCAATTTCTTGTGAGCTATTGCAGCTGGGGGGGTAGAGTGTGATCATAAAAAGTAAAGGTGAGGGAAAGTGAGAGCCGATGACAGCGATTTGTAAAATCTGAAGTGTGACAGCGATTCAGCAGCTCGGGAGAAGGGAAGGGAGCGAGCTGTGAGGGATGGTAGGTCGTAAATAAAAAATTCGGCTGGGTTTGGGGCTGTCACAGGCAGTGAAGGCCGGGAGCTCCAGCTGGATGGAAACATCTTTCATACAGGAAAGGTCAGAGGGAAGCCATTTCCCATCAGTTCTTCATGAAAGTCTCCACAGAATTAATGACACACACTGCGATGCAATACTGAAATATTTGACCTATTTTTCTACTTTTAAGGCCTGCTGAAAAAGTTGAGGCACTATAAGAGCTTCCTGTATACCTCCAGTTTTTAGAAGGAGGAGGGAGTAAATGTTCATTTGTGACTCGCCATTGCACTTAGTACCTACTTAGTGCTTTTTTTTTTCCCCATAATAATTTATGCATGTGGCATTCCTCTGTTCTGAAATAGGCCAAGAGACACAGGCAGCAATTGCTGAGCCCGTCTGCTTAAGCTGTATAAGCCTGAACCGTGCACACAGTGTCCAGTTGGCAGCTAAGATAATCAGCCTACAGGCAGTTTAAATGCTCGTTACAGTACATTTTATTCGTCAGTATTTAATAAGTAATGATTCTGAAAAGCTTGGAGCGTGGTCTGTGCCCATACCATCTCCTGCTGTGTTCCTGTCAAAATGGATAAGTTAAACTGGGTTGAATCTGGTCGATTTTTGGATGAATACCCACCAAGGAATTTCTAGATGCCATAAGAAGGTACAGCTATTGAGTAGGAGGTGCTCTTTTGCTTGACTTAGTCCTACACAGTGTAAAAAAGAAAGGAATGGCTCTGTGCTGGGAAGCTGGGCATGGCTTTGCATGGCTGTGTGTGTGCACAGGCAGCGGGGCACAGGGTCCCCTTTGCTTGGGTTGCAGGGGGTTACACCACCATTGCACAAGCACCTTCAAAAGGGGCCACGTTGGCCAGCTGTGCTTCATGAGGGAAAGGAGGGTGAGATTTCTCTGGTGTCCCTTGACAAAGTGAATCTAGAAGGCAGCAGCTCCCGGCAGGGAACAGCTTACAGAGCTTGAAAACAAGTTCTAAAAGCCTGTGTTCCACTAGCTCCAGCATGGCCTCAGAAGGCTGCGGCAGGCTGGCTGCTCCGGTGGGCTCGCGTGGCCTGTGCTCTGCACCGTACAGGGGCTGGTCAGAAGTCAGGGTTACTTGTGAAGCTCTTGAAAGTAGTAAAATAATCTTTACTAATAGTGCTTTATGAGCAAAATGGTCAACTGCTGCAGATCCAGCAGCTATCCTTCAAAAGCAGATCGGAGTAAGTCTTTTCTGGGAAGAAAACTCCCATTATCTCAGTGCTTTGGCAATTTGTATCTTGACTTGTTACTCATCCGGTGAACTTGACAGGAATTTACAGCTGGTGTAAGAGGATCATCTGCTCGTACAGCACAGCACCTGGGGCCAGCAGAGCTCTGCCATGAGGATTTGATGCAGCTGAAGGAAAGGATGCAGCAGCAAGCAGGCGGAGGAGGCTCTGCAAGCCTGGCCACTTCCCCCCCGGGACATACCCGCTGCTTTCTGGGGAGCAGTGGACAAAAAGAGAACCATAAAAGCTGGGGCCTTAATTCTCCTGACTGCTGGGCTGTAGGATTTGTTATTAACCCTCTCTCCTGCCTCACAGACCCAATTTCACTTTCCACTCTGCTGGTGTCTGCTCATCAGCAGAGCTCCCACGGGTGGAGCAAAATGGAAAGCCCTGAGTGGGTCAGTGTCCATTAACTGGTGTGTTGTACAGTTTTGCACAGGGCAGGCTGGAACACTTCAGACAGAGAGGGAAGGGCCTTTAGTATTTTTAAACCACAAAGGTTAAACACTTCTATTAATATCTGCTAGAAATTGCTCATAGAGATTCTGGCATATGTCATTATGGCACATAATTCCACTACAACTGCCTGCCATCTTTCCCTGAATTGTTTATAGCTCCTTTACGTGCTCTGAGCAAACTGCAGCACAAAGCTGTCGTGTGTCTGGTGTCACCACCAAGAGACAGACTCTTTGCACTAACAGCCATGTGATAAACTTCCTTTTTTTTCAATGAATTACTTTATCTTGTGTGAACACTTCATTTTATGCATCATTTTTACAGTCTAAGTGGTCCCTGAACAGAGAAAATCTAGGGGTGCATGAATGATGAGGTTTTGCAGTTGTTCAAAAATGAATGTAGGATTCCTAAATCATCAGCTAAAAATGAAAAGAACATCACACAACCAATAATGCTTTCACAGCTGCTCTTTGGTTTTCCAATTTCTGCCGTCAATTTATTAGCAAGATCTTGCTCCGTACTTTTTGACTCGAGGCCTTGTACAAATCTGGCAGGTCACTTCGTTGTTAGGGCTGTAAGTTCCAGGCTCACACACCACTGCGAAGAGAACACAGTCAGCGTTTCAGCCAGCTCCCCTCCGCCTCAGCCAGGCCTGGGACCATCAGACAGCACCATGTGCCTTCCCGGCACTGTAAGGGAGATCTCATCCTTCCCAATCTCACTGAGCCTGCCTCTCGCTAAATACCCCGAACTCCAGAACTAGCAGTACGTGCTGCTGGCAAAAGATCTTTTAAAACAGTTGAGTGTTTTCTAGCAGTGCTACCATTAAGGTAATTGTTTCTTATTTGCTCTATATCCTGAGCGTAGTCACTCACCAGTGACCTGGAAGAAAAAACACTTCACTGCTTCCACTCACTCTATTTGGAAACACAGTGACACCTACAAATGCACTAACAAACGCTGCCAGCTTGTTTTCTGTTCCTATCAGTTTTTTTAAATCTGCGATGTGAATGTCTTTCTGAAAGTTGAATGGAAATTTCATTGCTTTTGACATTGATATTTACCAAATACTCTTCAGAGAAACCAGTGATCAGAGCTAATCAGCTATATTTAAATCAATATATTTTATATTTACCACAGCAACTAGCGCAGTTCTTGTGGGTGATATCGTTTTTCCCAAAACCTGGTCGACAACTGTCAATGTGAGTAACTGAGAAACTGTTGTCCACATAGTGTATTGTAGGAACAGTTTGAAACTCGTGCTTCAAAGCATACGTCTGCTTATTGAAAAACTCTCCAATTCGCTCTCGTGCCTAAAATTCAGAAACATTGGAAGAATAAAAAAGTCAGTTGTTTTTTCTTGATTTTAAAACTCAGTAAATACTTTATAGTCCTGATTACCACACACACTGACCTGTCACCTTAACTGGGAGCCTTCCTTTGGCTTCAGAGGGCCTGGGATCAGACCCAGTATGCCACCTGATAGCATATATTAATGTTAACAAGCCAGAGAGAACAGATTTTAGAAATCGGCTACAGTAGATTTAGTTTAAATTGTATTCCATTTACCAAATCATAAATCAAAGATTTAGTTTAGAGAACTGGAAGTTCAGTATGCTACTGTAAACATTAATGTTTATAATTCTTTATTCTTAGAGGTAAATATGAGGGAAGAAATAAGCCCCCCCCCCCCTTTTTTTTTTAAGCTGCTTGGATCAATTTGACTTTTAAAAACAGTTTTCCATCCTGAATGGCATTATTTGAAATCCATGAATTGTCATTTACAATGATATTAATCCCACAAAATCCAGGTGAAGCTGGATTACTACCAGTCAAATCTGTAGATGCTAAGGCAGAAATTTGTGTTAAATATGCAGAGAAGACACAAGGGTGGCTGACACAGAACCTCTTGAACTCTCATGTTTGTCGCATCTTCACAATCATAAGGAACCTGGTGGCAAACTTCTTCCCATCCTGGTGCAAAAGGATTGACTATGGGTTGGGGGGGAAAAAAAAGATACATTTAATTTACAATGAACTCAAATACCTCAAGCAGGTGTCTTTAGGTTCATTTTGGAAAAAATTGACAAACAAAATGCATTACTGCTTTTAGCATCACTTCATCCTATCATACTCTCTTAATTTTGCCTCTAATTTGTGAAGAATGGAGTTTGGTTTTGTTTGTTTGTTTTCACCTGTCACTGTCTGCAGTCAAGATCATGTTTTGAAACAGTTCTTTTGACTGGGTGCATTTGAATGTTGAAAAATGAGTGACTGATAAAAGGGGAAAAAATATATTTAGTCCTGGTGGTTTCTACCCAGTTACTTGAATTGCTTTTTTCCAGTAAGAGTCAGAGGTCAAACAATAAAATAATGTGGGGAAAAATATGCTGGCAGTAAGAATGGAACCAAATTCTTACACAGTATCCTCAGATTTCAGAAAGGGCTGAAGTTTCACGTAAACTTAAAACCTTTGGGTCCTCAGTTTGTTCCGAATGTTTCTTGACTTTACTGAGGGGAAAATGGCCAAGAAACTGTTCCACAACCTCTTGGATGGTCCCTCTTGGCACATGACGAGAACAGATACAGCAGAGAATGTGGTCAAAGCATTAATGAATAACTTCCTTTCCTCAGTGATAAAACATCTCTAAATTAGGGCAGCCATCAGGGTTGATTTAACCTGTTTTGCAAGGCAATACAGCCACATCAGTGTTACCATAAGGGAACTGTGAGGCTCTTGCTTTCAACCTCTGTGCAGTTTCCTAGAATCAAGCAAAACCACAGAGGTCACAGACTTATTAAAAATCAAATAATGAAAAACAAATATTTTATATTTTTTACAAAAAAATATAAAAATCATGGCATCTTAGCAGCTACCTCCTTTCAACAATCCTTTCCAACTGCACACCTTGAAAAGTAGCATTTTTTGCTAAGGTTGCAAGAAGTACAAAACTATAAATTCCACATATAAACTGCATTTTAGCTCCATCTGTGGGCTAGCGAGAAAAAATACAGGGACTCCAAAAGAAAGCAGGGAAACAACTTCTGAAGGTATACTTGACTTTAATGTATTTCAGGTGTTGTTTATAGAACTCTCAGGTTGTTTATAAAAGTAAATGATCCCTCCCAAACAATGAAATCTGTTACCTTGAAAACTAACAAATAGTTCGTGCAGGAGGCCTTGTTTTGGTCTCTTGACAGAATGGCATTTGTAGGATGACTCTATGATGTGACACGTCAGATCAGAGATGATGTTATTTAAGATTTTCTTTAGTTCCTCAAAGAACTGGCCGTTAGGTGCTAACTCGCATTCCCTTGTAGTAAAGCGAACAAATACCTGATATGCATGGTCAGCTTCCCTGTATGCTTTAAGGAAAACAGTTTGTGTGTGAGTTCTGCGGTGCAATTACACATTGAGTCTTATACAGAACCTTATCATCTGTATCAGTGTACTTTGTATCTGAAATACGGGCTCTTATTCAAAAGTAAACAAATAAATAAAGCTTACTCATTAACCATAACAGAACAACCTTATCCTTGCCAGAGCTGACTCAAAGAGTAAGAGACATTTTGGTTTGAAATGTACAGGAATTTACGTGCTTATGTTATGAGGCTCTGATCCCAAATATTAAAACAAAAAAGGAGGTAAATAGTAAAATAACACAGAACTAGCATGTCTACAAAGTTGTGTAACTGAAATGAATTTGGATTATGCAAAAGTATTCTATGCAATTATGGTGCATAGGAGTGAATTTTTTAAAAATTAGTTTAGAAGTTAGTGGTTCTCAAGCATTTTTGGACACGTTATTTTATGGGTGGGGAGGTGATATTGGTGAACAGTGGTTACAAATGGTGGAAGAAGGCTCCAGTGTGCTGCTTGAGCTGTTGAGGCAGAGGGCTTATTCTGCACCAGCGTATGTTTGGTTTGGTAATCTCTCCCACAGGAGATTGCACTCAGACATGAGCTTCCTTTTCAGATCTTGGATATCGTTGGAATTATTGTAGTTCACTTTGTTCTTATTAAGGGTAGAGTTTATTTTATTCTTTGAGTGGTCATATGTTCGTGGTAGCAGTTATTTAAAACTTTTTCCAAACCTGGGATGGGGATTGTGCGTGTATAAATATAAAAAAATTATTTTATATTCTGGGATAAAATGTTAACTAATTATTTCTTTTTATCAAGCCTTGCAAAAAACATGCACTTCATAAACGCACCAAACTACAAAGGCTATGTGCATTAGCTTGCTAGTAAGTTAGCAATCTTACCGTATACCATGAATTTATATGCCTCAAACACTACTCTTTCTTCTTGTGTCGTAGTTTCTATGATTTTGTGAGAGAGAGTACAAGTGTAGGCTCCAGACATGGACTCCTTAAAACCCATCACCATCAGCTTTCCTGTTTTTGTAAGATTCACATACATTTGCCCTAGATTAGAAACAGGAGATACTTGATTACTGGAAATGTTCAGTTTCTAATGCTCTGCTCATTTAGAACATTTGAAGATGAGATCTTGCTCTTGTACATAATAACAGTGATTCATGTTAGTCTGAAACAGTCTAAAATTTATGACCTTTAGGACTTATTGCAAGTTTCCTTCTATCTCAAGCATTTGTAATTTTTTTAGGGGGAGAAGAGAAACATAGTCTAATGTCAGAGCTCATGGAAAAATTTGACAAAGGACCAAGTGACTATTTGGACCCACCATCCTGTTGCAGAGTGGCATCAATAGAAACAGGGAAAATACGTGATTTCATGTACAGTAATCTACTTAGCCATTTGTGGTTGACTTTTTCCCTTGTAAATAGAAAACAGAAACTATTTCTCTGTCTCAGCGTATTTTCCTGATCGCCTCCCTGCTCCCCAAGGCAGAGGCTGTTTCTAAGTTTGTGAAAAAGTACTGTAAAAAGCCTGTTCTATTAGTGACCGGGGGAAAAAATAGCTAAGGCAGGCACAGTGGAAATCCTTTGTAGTTCGAACAAAGTGACTAACCTTCTAAATTTTTTCCATCTGGACCAATCCACAAATACTTGGGATCTATTACTTCTTCTCGAGAACGAGCCAAATCCATACATACTAGAAATGGGCTATTTGTAAACACCTTAACATAAACATTAACTGCAATACAAGAGAACAAGGTAAATGAAGTGAAATGCTTCTATTGAATGAAATCACCAAAATACTAATTTTGAAAAATATATTTAATGTAATGCAAGGTTTATTTTTCATGTTTGGACTTTGAAAAGTGTAAGGCTAATCTTTTATCTCCTTTTGCTCTTTCTAATATGATGGAACTGTCCGCAGCGTGCTGGGTGCTGACTGTGTGGAGGAGACACCCGAGTGCCACACAAATCATGTTGCAGGGTCACAAAAAGCACCAGATTTTGAGCCTGTTGCTGAGTGGGACCCTCATTTAGACATTAAATTTTCAGAAGTGCTTATAGTAGCACCATGGGACAAATATCTTTCTAAACCCAGCTCCCCTCATTACTGTATGCTATCAGCATCGTATTCTGGAGTCTCCAGCACTGTGTTTAGCTAAGCTTGGTTGTGTCACTTCTCTGTGTAGCGGTGTCTGCATCATGATCACGATGCTTAAAACTCCATTTTAAAAGTTCAGTAAGACCTAAATATATATATATGTAAAAAAAAGGACGAGTTTACCTTCCTGTTTGGTGTCGCCATAAACATAATTCTTTTCAACTAAATCAATAGAATGTTGCTCTTCCTTAGGTACAGCTCTCACTGTAGGGAAAAGGACTTAGAATATTACAGAGAGAAATCTAAATGTGTGATTGTTAACCGTTTATTTTGTCCTAGCGGGTTTCTGTCTCTTGCCTTACTTTTTCTTTCTCCCCACGCCCTTTTCTTAAAAACAAGGGCTCCCACTTGCTGCTGACTTGCCAGATTTTGTTCCTTTAGAGCCCAGGTTGCAAATCTGTCTTGATATACCAGGTTCCAAACTAGCTGGGCCTTTCTCTTTACAAACAGCCAATAAAATAGTTACAAAATCTAACTAGAAAGCTAAGGCTCTTCACAATGACCCCAAGGAGAAGCAGGAGGGGTGCAGTGTGGTGACTGTGGGAGGGTATCGAGTCTTTGAGTATCTGTGAGCCTTTGCCTTTTGGGAAACAGTGGGCAGATGTGCTTATATGACCGCTCCCCAAGGAGATATGAAAATCATTAGAATTTGTGCTGACTTTTTCAGGCCACGGAGGCAGACTAGGGTAGCCCTGCCTGACCACTGCTGCCCCAGACTCGGGTCCAGAGAGATGCACTGCTGGGATCCACACCTTCCCCTCTAAAAGGGGTTTCATCGTCAACTGCTGAAGGAAGGTCCTGCAACAGGCTCTCCACAGGCGGCCGGCGCCCGGCGGCCCGAGCCCCACTGCCGCCCTCTGAGGAGACCCCCGCCTCGGAGGGGGCACCCATCGCCGCGGCCCTGCCCCTCCCTCCCTCCCTCCCTCGGTACCTCCAGTCAGAGCAC